CTACTTTCAGACCATTTTTATAGCTGAAAACTCTCATGGCATAAAAGAGTCATCATACAGTTATTTCACTGCGGAAAACTGTTATTTTTCTTCTAACTTTGAACTCTAGCTTTTGGGGAAGGGGGATGTTTTTCAAATAAAACTCTGCTTCCATTCTTCCTCCAAAAGCTCAGCCTGTATTATCTGGAATGATAATAAGTTCATGAAGATATGTATTCAGGCAGATTGTAAATTTTGCCAGAGCATTTATATATTACTAAATCCAAACAAAGATCTAAAGCGAGACACAAAACATCACCAAAAAAAAAGTTCCAAGAGATATGGACTGAGATTTTTAAAGCTGAGTGAGGGACTCAGCCACACAAGTCCCAAAGTTGATTAATTATGTGGTTGATAATCTCAGTTTATATGCCAAGTTTATATTCTTGATATAACTTCATTGTCTTTAGTGGAGTTACACAGCAAATTTATTTGACAGATAGTCATGTTTCTTCTCCAAGACTAACTTCTAAGGCAGAAGGTTTAAACATGAGTGAATGAAAGTCCTGGGCCAAGTTCTCCCCTAATTTAAACTCTGTACAAAACAGCTGACTTGGAAGTGAGAGTGTAAGGAAAGGCAGAAAGAGACATGAGTCTGTTCTTCCTTTGCTGGGACATTACATCAGTTCTCTTAGGTAACGGTCATGCCTCCAAAACACACAGCGGGAATCCAAATTGCAGTTTGTTGGAGATTCTTTCCTTCTAAGCTTGCAAGTTCTTGTATTTCACAAGCAGTAAGTGCTCAGGGAAGAGCCTGGACTAGTCTCAGTGGAGGACCATGAAATTCATTCCTTTTAAGTACAACACCAATCCAAATCTTGCCTGCTTCAAAATGCATTTCATGGCTAAGCACTGGAAATAGTAATTTTAATATGAACATTGGAATTAGTCACCTAATTTAATCAGAAAATAATGCCTTTCAGACATTCTCAGCCTCAATGTTATTTTGAATCAAAACCCAGCATTTGGATCTTTTTTTTAATGTGTTTAATTTTTTTTGGTTCATTATTAGTATTAGAGTTAAGCATGTCTAAGGCTGACGGGTCAAACAGGGTGCACACACCTTTGCTAAGGTGAGAAGGAAGCAGTGCCCATCTCAACTCTTTCTATGCAGCTTTGCTAAGGACACAGGGAAGTTTTATTGCTTTGAAATCTGAATGCTACAGCTCAAAGTGTAGTGAATTTCTGATGTCCTCACTTCTGATTCTTCTGCTGGCAGAAGTTATTTTAGTAAAACAAAAGTGATGTAATCTGGCAGTAAATGAGCTTAACAAACAAAATGGCTCCACAGTAAGACCCCTGCTCTCGGGGGACCATTGCTAGAGCCAAGAAGCTGGTCTCCATCCTGACAGCCCAAGCACTTGGATATCCTTCCCAACTCTTCGCTCATTGACTGTTTTCAGTCAAATCAGATAGCAAAGTCACATACATTGTTTTAAAACTCAACTGGATGTCAGGAGCCCATCTGCTAAGCACCTCTAATGAAGCAAAAGTGAAGAAGATACTTCCCACCCAACATAGTTTGCAATAGTTAACAACCAGGACAGACACTGGATCAAGACCATCTCATGTTCCCCATCTGTGACTTGCAGCTGCTGATTTTCAGCCTTGTATAATATGTGGAAGTGAGAAGCTCCATGTGATGGACTGTGACCATTGCCTTGGAGGAGAGCAGGAGTATTTTGAGGGAATTGGCCAGGCTAGAAGTGGGAAGCTGAGCAGAGCCAGCTCCACAGAAACAAGCAGCTCTGCCCAACCCCAAGTGTGCACACCCCCAAAACTGGCACTGAGCACATGGCTCTGAAGCTGACACTTCCCTACTATCCTGGGATTGTGCTTAAAGGTGACATTTCCTTCCCTTCACCAGGCCCCAAGCAATTCTTACATAAGTATTTTCTTACCAGCAGTACCTCATGAGTGACTCACTGGGCTTGCTGGGCTCCCCACTGGGACCTGCCAGTGGGATAGGCTAATTTTCATCCTTCTTTTCTTCAGCTCCCTCCTGCATATGTGATTATTTGTTATTTCTGCATACAGACCTCCCTGCTGGAGATGAATACACCCTACTTTTTCCCTCCACACCAGAGCTTACATCTGTGATCTCTAATTCTTCACCTCTGTAGCACTCAACAGCTGTAACATTTCATCCCTGTACATAGCTGTACCTCTGTTCTTCCAGGTTCATCTCAGCAGCTTTGGTCCAGTTCTACCTTTCCTTCTTATCACTTGTCACCTTCTCACCTCCTTCATTTGGGCTACCTCCAAAGTCAGCTCTTCTACCTCTTTTCCTGTGGAGCCACTGCTATCACCTGTCTCAGACACTAGAGCTTGACAGACTTCCTTCCAGTCCCCCTCATCAATTCAACCCTCCTCTCCAGCAATTTCCATCTACAAGTACAAGGTTATCATGACTAAGGGGACCATGTTTAAACAGAAAAATAGTTGAACAGGTTCCCCCACTCTCTTCTGCCTTTTCTCTCTCTTCATTACCTGCTTAGGCGCTACAACACGCACATCACTGCTTCTCCTTCAGAGTATGAGTGTGAAAGAAAAAACATTTTTAAAATCTGTTCTTAAAAAAGAAGATGGTAAGAAGTCTTTTGAAAGCATGTCAGGAGAACTTTTACCCTGCATCACTTCCCCAGTCAAAATGCTAAAAAGTATAAAAAAACCCCCCAAACCCAACAACATGCTATGTTGCTGTGTATTTTACTAGCAATTTGAGAACCTATTACTAGCAATTAGAGAACAGTCATGACCAAACTTTTGAAATATCAAGATGTTTAAAAAGTTCTAGCTGAGGAAAAAAAGTGTGAGGGGGGAAAAAGTGCTGGTGCAGTCATCATCATGGATGGAAAATAAGCTACACAGAGATTTTCTTGTAGTACAATGACATCCACATTAGGACTACAACTTGAAAAGTTACTTTGGCAAAGAAATGCCACATTCAGTCTGAGGGCTAAGGAGAGCATTTCTGCAAAGGAAAAAAAAAAAAAAAAGATTTCCTAACGAAAATAGAAACTTGAAATAACACCAATTAAAAATTGTTTCTTTTGTAGTGATCTCATTTCCTTAGGATCAGATTCTTATTACCCTTCCAAGTGTGAAGCATAGTTAAATCTTCCTTAAAACTAATGTTCTGATTGTATTTAAAAAAATAGGTTCTGATTAAGCAGAGCTTAATTATATTTATTCTGGATAGAATAAATATAGAGTGTTGCTTTGTCATATTCTTAGGCACAGAAATCTGGGGTATGGGGCATTCTCATGGCTTTAATTTTGAAAAGGATGGGAACTGAGTTTAGTTGTCACCTTTTACTGTCCATCTTCTGAAAGAAGAGTGGAACAATCCTGTAGGGCTGATGACAGGGAAGAGTTTTCCTATAGCTGAAATCGCTGCAATCAAAGCTACTGCAGTGATATCTCTAGCTCCATTTTGGAAATGCAGAAAGGATTGACTAGTTGGCAGTGGTGAACGCTTCATTTACACCACTAGAAATTCAAGGCACTGCTTAGTTTTAAATTAGATCAATATCCTGACAAAGCCTTTATATGTTGTTTTTAAATGGGGTGGAGAGAAAGAAAAAATGAAATGCAAGACCATAGTTAGCAAGATCTTAGCCCATACTCTGAAACTGAGAACTACTTATCCAGTGCTCCAAAATCTAAAGCTTTATTTCTACTCCTGCAAATTCATTAATAGCATTTATTAACCATTGGTTTAAAATATTATAGCTGATAGCTTCAAGTGACAAGTAGGCAAAACATGAAAGATAAATTCTTGCAAGGAAGGCATGCCAAAATACAGAAGGAAACTATTTAGCCGATTACACGTTTACCTTACAAGGTTTGAAATCTGAAGGGAAAGTTTTCAAGAATTAAATTATTTTGAACACTGTGGGCTTGAAGCTTCAAAGCATCCTGGTTCAAAAACTGCCAGCCCTTATTCACTGGTTATGGGAAATCTAAAGTATCTAAAATAGTGGGGGTTTTTTTCAGAGGTCATTTGCTCATAGCACTATAAATGGGGTTGTTTTGGCTTTTTAATGGTAGAAACTATTGTGAGGGGGAAAAAAATCGTAAAAAAGTTAAAGACTACCATCAAAAACCTCCTAGCATTCTTTGTCCTGCATTGTTACATGGGTAAATGATTAACGCTGTCAAGAGTTTTGTTTTCTTCATTTTGTTTCCTTCCTTGTGGGCCACAAACAGTGAAAAGGTCTCGACTGCTGCAATAAGCAATACTGAATTCTGCTCAAAGTTCAGGGGAGCTGCTACATGCCCATTCACATATAAAAGTTTCCTATGAAAGCTTTAAAAACCAGATGAGTTGATGGCTTGTGCATCTTATCTGGAATCTTTTTGTTCCTCCAGCTCTCGTTGTACGCTTCCTGACCAAACGGTTCATTTGGGAGTATGACCCAACTCTAGGTAGGTTTCATTTTATTCTGTACACATGGAATGCTGTATATAATAGTATGTCTGAAGTAATGGAAAGTCATAGAGTTAAAATTCCAAGCCTCAGTCAACCTTTAAATTTGCTGTGAAAAGCTTCTCTATGGTCATTTGAAGCTGGAACAAATTATTACCTAAGATGGCAGAACGGAGAAGCAGTAATGTACTCAGATGAAATCAGAATTAATATACGAGGCATATTTCTGCCCACACAGAAGTCAATGGGAATTTTGCCATTGAAAGCAATTGCGTTGGTATTTCACTCTGAAAATTATTTAATGTGTGATCAGTTTTCTGCTTTTGGATAACCCAAACATCAGCTGCTAGAGAATAAGACGGCTGGGAAAGAGATCTCAAAGATTCAAGAAGGGAGGGGAGGATGAAAAGGGAGGTACTTAAAATCTACCTACCCTTAGATACGTTTTTTGTCCTCACTTTCGAACATAGATTGTGTCTCACTTTTTGGATGACCAGACAGGGACAGCAGTCATCAAAAGAGCTTTTATGCTTCTCTTCCACTACTCCCACTTAGCTGTGTTGGGCCTGGCACTTTTGAGGAGCTGGCACAGATCTCTCAGATGTCAAAGAGTTGCTCTGAATTAGAGGCCTTGCTTGAAAATTTGGGCCAAGATCACCTTTCTTAGTATTTCCTAAATTAACATATATTTGAATGCTCTGCACCAGAGAAAATCCAGACCAAGACATCTGGAGTTGAAACATTCACATCTTAGAAAGCACCTTCAGTATCTCAGAGTTAAGTGATTTGCACTTAAGGAGTGTCCTTCTCTCTGATAATCAGTTGCTATCTCCTTCCTATCATTTCTTTGGAGGCTCAAATACAGATGGTACAGTTAAACACCTATTTCTCTGTTCATATTCTTTCTCTAAGAGGTCTCACTAAAGAAATACAGAACACCATAAACTTGCACAGCAGAAACAAAAATGAAAGTTCAGTATACTTTATTGCAGAGCCCAGGAAGCCCCTTCAACAAAGAAAAGTATCCAGTATTGTACTAAGTGTTTTCATCTGGTAAGATGAAGAAATAACAAATATCAGAAAACTCATCTTGGGAAGATAATTCTCAGAACAACCTGAACTCAAATGCATTCTTTTGTCTGCTAATGTCGATATATTAATCGGCGAGTTATATGTCACCTGCCTTGTACTGCACAGTGGGACATTCAGTATCATGTTCTATTGGTATTAATACTTCATATCTCTAATACATATTTTTAAGAACTCGACAATTGACGTATCTGAAGTGTTTTGTGTCAGTATAATTCAAGTTCATTAATTTCTTACAGGGACACTGCATGCAAAAGTATCCCCGTTGCCTCATTTAAGCACAGAAACTAAGTTTTTAGCAAGCTGCAATGTTTATTAATTTTTGCATCATTATGAAGTGTACAAGACTTGACATTTGTTTCTGTTTTACAAATGAATACAACTGCAAATTAACCATGCCCCTCAGGAATCAAATCATCTTCCATTTGCAACACCGAAAGCTTTCATGCAGACAACAGTCCTATCTCAATAAAATAAAAATTAAATCTCTTCTGACTTACTGAATTCTACATTCTAATTCCGTTTAGAGGATAACAGCTTCAATTATGTTTTACGGTTATTGTGCAGCTAAGTGCTTTAAGTTGCTCAGAGGAAAAGGTTTGAGAAATACAAAAACTGATAAACTATTATCAAGAAGATATTTCTTAATCACAGTAATCTCTGGTGGAAGCTGCCCACCAGAGATTGGTTTTTAAAGTACTGTTTTTTCAATCTATGGGTCACAACAGGATTCAGAGGAGGATCTGAAGTGTTAGGAAAAAAAAAAACCTGAAATTTGAACCACTGTTCAGGCCTTCAGAGATCAATCAGAAAGAGCTGATCTCCAAACTCTTTACCTTCAAAACCTTTGAGAAACAGTGCTTTAAAGAACCCATTTTACCATGATCATCCTGTGGTGATTTAGTGGCCAGTTAGGTGTAGACTGAATTTACTGAGAATTTTGAGCCAAATAGGTTAATTCTTCTTTGCAGCCATGGACTAGCAGTTGGGAAGAAGGATACCTGTATGTGTGTGCGTGTGTGTATGTAGATATATGTGTGTATATACATATATAGGGACACCTATATATTCCACCAATAAAAAAAGTGTAAGCTGTGTCAGTGAGATTAATTTGCCTTACAAGGAGAATAAGTAGCTTTGTCAAATAATTTTGAAAGGGCAGGAGATGCAAACTATCTAGCTACCAAGCAACAGGAGGCTTTGCCAAAAATGACTGAGGCTGCTACAAAAATGTCATATTTATAGTTTATTTCTTATGTCAAGTTTTCAACCACTCATTAGACCTCTGATACAAGGAATCTCCAGATAATTCCTATTTTTCAGAAAACTTTCACCAAGCTGTAAAAGGCCTAATGGAAATTCAACATTATTCTAAACCAACCATCAAGGTAAAAACCTTGTCCTCTTAGTTCAAGTGTGGCACATTTTAACTGGAAAGTTAAAGTCACACCTTATAAATATCCTTTACTACTCTAACCTGCCAGAACAAAATAAAGGACCATATTTTTAGCAGCATCTGGATACTGCTCTGTCACCAGGAGCCAAATTACAAACCACAAAATAACATTTTCTGTCAGGAGGAGCATCACTGAAGCTTCGGCACATGGAGCTGCTGCTGAAGTCAGGGCCTTGCAGCTCTGCCACTTTTGTGCCTGATGTTGGATCTGTGGAAGAATTGGTAGAACAGCTGCATCTTCACAAAAAAGTACATATTACTGTGCTTTTTATTTTACTATTCTCAGCCAAGGGGTAACAACTGCAGCAAAGGTCATTCTTCAGGGGAGTATTAATCATCAGCCTTGACTTCTCCATCAGTTCTGCTTAACTGGCAAGTCATCATCTTGGCATGTTTTTATTTTTCAATTATTTTTTTTTTAAAGGTGGATTTTTTAAGAAAAATCATTCAGGCTAAGTGGTTACCTTGCATTATCAAGGTGAATGAGTTTCCACTTTCAATCTGTATTTATAATAAATCCCACAACTGTTCCACATGTGCGACAGAATTAGAAGGTTCAATGAAAGAGCTCTATGTAGAAATAGGCTGGAACTGCACATTTTAAGAGATATATAAAGTTGTTTTTTAAAATAGTAAATATACGAGTTCAGCATTAAACTTAGTCTTCTTTAGCTTCTTAAATATGTACTGAGAAAGGGGATTGGCTTACCACATGGATTTCACCAAAATTCATTAATTTTTATATGATTTTAAATAGAACAACTCTCAAATTAATAAACAATTTCACTGTGGTGTTAGAAGGCCTAAAAACACTCAGTTTGGTTAGGGCACCATTTAAGCCTACAAGTAGTTCACAAACATAAGCAACACATTCATGGTGGATTTAGTACAGAACTGGAAATTTGTGCTATATTTCAGTTGAGAAATCTTTCTATTGAGAAGTGTGAGAACAAGCATTCCTGTGTGCCATTTCAGCAGTGCTTGCCAGGAACTGGGTGGCAGCAGGCTGACAATTTGCCTGCCACCTAGGTGGCTTGGCTCAAGGAGACTGCAGCCTTCAAGCAACCACCTTCATGAGAGTACCACCACCTCCTCGGCTGCTGCCACAACAGAAGTATATAGACATGTGACACCAGCCAGCATCATCTCAGGGATGGGTATACTCTATGAGGACAAGTTTCATGGTAGAGGTGCAAAGATCTTTATTTGGCCACCTACCCTCTATGGGTAAACTCTTGGCCTGAATATAGGACTTCCATGGAACTCGGTGACCTGGGGCTTCACAACATGATTTTCAAAGCTACTGTGAGTAGCTGCTCTCCTCAGTGCTAGTATGTAGGAGTAACAGTCTAGATGTCAGCAATTTTCCCCATGAGCAGCACCCAGAATTTAGAGTGTCTTTACCTGACTTCAAAGATGGAGAGGTACTGTGGTTTGCCATCAAACAAGTGATTCTTGATTCTGTCACTAATTTGTTCCCTGCAGTCTCTCTGCTTCTACTTCACACCTATAAAATCCTTCATCTCATAGAAGAGTTGTAAATCCTTAAGTAACTGGTACTCATAGAGTTAAGACACTCATATCAAAGGTGCACAGAAACACCAAACCTTTCTCCAAAGACTGAATTTTAAACAAAAGTTTACTTATAAAAATAACAGCAACCAAGGAGTTAACGTTTGTTGACCTTTCTAGAAGTCAGTTGGCTTTCTCACACTATCCCTAGATGTCTTTAGCTGTTCACATATTTCGTACAACTTTGCTAATCCTCTGAAAGGAAAACTGCCTCTGAGCAGATAATCAGCTGAACAGTGAATGACAGACTGGCCTGTCAGTGAAAGCAAAGAGAGACAGAAAGCATAGGAGTTTATTTAGTTTGGATGGGATAGAGAAAAGACCATTCATTACTTTGAAAGAGCATATAAAGAAACATGAGTCTTAAGAAAAATTAAAATTTTGCTAGGATTACTAGATTAATTGTGGCATTTTTCTTCCAACTATGTTACAATTTCTTTAATTCACCCAGGTTTTTGTTGACCCTTTTTCAACTGGGATGGGGAAAACCAAAAAAAATTGAGCTGCTGTTTCCATAAACTCCTAACTAATGCATTGTATATTCAGCCTGTAAGACACCACGGCTAAAATGTGTAGGTATCAGTAAAGCAGAAAAAGTAGGAGATAAGGTGGTACAAATTGCTGTCCCACTAATTTGATTATGAAAGACCCATGAAAGCACTGTTCTTCTCCAGCATGACCTGAAACAGCCAAAGGACTGTGGAAAGGCACGCTAGGTAAGTGGCAAGTGTTTGAGAGAGATACCTCTGTTAGTGCCCTGAATTATCTGAGAGCAGAGAACATTGCCTGCTATAGACCAGCTCAGGACCACTGGTGGCAAGACCAGCAAAAATCACTTTGTGAAGATATTGTTTGCATTGGCAAGAACACTTTTCCCATTGG